CTGCTCACATTGCCAATTCATGAGCATGTTCATTTGAGAACATATGCAGTTTCAACTCTGTTTCATGGATCCTCTGAACTTCACAGTCACGTAACGCTCCAGAAAGACAAAGCTAGACAGCGTGATTAGCTTACGCTGCCTTCACACTGGCAGTTGAAATCAGCTCCGTAATACGCAATACGTTCCCAACGGACGTCGTACTACACAGTGAAAAGCATCGGACGCGGGTAGAACAAAAATGGCGGAGAGATTAAAGTTTGATTCTGTCAGTTCTGTATGATCTCTCTGATTAGGGTTATGCTGCGTGAGGAAAGTTGCTCAGGACGTTGACATGTCAGGTCGGCTAAAAAATGTGATATAGTGGTCAATAGTTCAATGTCTACCTTCAATTTAATTGTATTAACTGCCCTTATAAACGTTAGAAAGTCATGAAAATAAAAAATGACATCACAACTTATCGTTATAAAATCAATATTTATTTTATTAAAAGTTAATAATTCAGGTTTGTTTATCAGTACCATAGCAACGGTCAACTTCCGCTGGAATTGTCGGATAGGAACCGTCCGTAGCTTTTCGCAAGAGTTCAAATTTTTGAACGCATCCGGATGACCAACGGACACGATTTTCTTCGCACCGCACTCGGTCGGACCCGTTTCGGACCCATTCGCATGCGGTCTGCGAATCTCCATAGGAAATGAATGACTTCCGGTCGTTTCGCAGCCGCATCGGAGCTGATTTCAACTGCCAGTGTGAAGGCGGCGTTACTGTTCAATTCTTGTCTACTGACTAGAGGAACTTGATTCAACATTAAAGGGATAGTGATTTTTTTTGTGATGCTTTAGCTTACCTCAAGGGCATTCAAGATGTAGGTGTCTTTGTTTCCACAGTAGTTTCAATTTTGATATTTTTAGGTCAAACTGGTGTTGTCCGTCAGTCTTATAATGGAGGTCTATGGTCACCACCTCAAAGAGCATGCACAGAGAAGTCCAAATTAAACATGATTTAATGACTCTTAAAAGTAAGTACACATTGATGGCCTAAGACACGAAACGAGCGGTTTGAATGAGAAAACAAACAAAACCGAAGCGGCCATGCCCTCAGATCACTTGGACGTGGTTGTGGTTACAAGAGGTAAAAACGATATAAATACTGTTCGTTTTCTCACACAAACCGCTCGTTTCGTGTCTTAGGCCATCAATGTGTACTTACATTTATGAGTCATTAAATCATATTTAATTTGGACTTCTTTGTGCATGATCTTTGAGGTGGTGACCATAGACCTCCATTATATGACTGACAGACAAGAACGGTTTGACCTAAAAATGTCAAAATTGAAACTACTGCAGAAACAAAGACACCTACATCTTGGATGCCCTTGAGGTAAGATAAAACATACCAAAAATTTATTTCAAAGTAAACTATCCCTTTAACATCAGCATGACAATATTACACTGGTACACAAGTTAACATTCAGAAATGATATAAGTCCTGAAATGAGAGCGTGTTATAACTCCCCAAGGCACTTTGAGGGTTTATATTTATCAAATGATAGGGTTAACTACACCTGATATGGTTTGAAGAAATTAAAGATTGGTTTCCTCCATCAGGGGAAAGTTCATAGACGCTCTCCCAGATGGAGGTGGTAATGTGTTTCCTGTTCAGCATGAAATAGACTTAAGGACACTCCATCAGGGAGAGATCTGGAGCACAGCTAACACTAACACGAACACTTTCTGCATCCAACACTTGGCCTGAGCGTCTCTGATATCATTTCCAGTGCTATGAGACAATAGGAGACTCTTTCCATCGAGGAGGCGGCTGTGATTTAGGGACAAAACAGATGTATAAGGTTTGGGGAGATGATCTGGAAAAATCATTAGGAGTCTCATTCCAAACCACTAATTCTTCTTAGACAATGATGCAAAATGTGTTAATTGACATTTGAGGAAATTCTTGAGATTCCATCCATATATTAGTACATTATGAAGATTTATTAAAAGGGTTTGTTCACCCAAAAATGAAAATTATGTCATTAATGACTCTACCTCATGTCGTCCCGAGCCTGTCAGACCTCCGTTCATCTTCAGAACATAGTTTAAGATATTTTAGATTTAGTCTGAGAGCTTTCTGTCCCTCCATTGGAAATGTATGTACGGTATATTGTCCTTGTCCAGAAAGGAAATAAAGACATCATCAAAGTAGTCCATGTAAGTTACAATGTTTTGAAGCGTCGAAAATACATTTTGCTCCAAAAATAACAAAAACTGTGACTTTATTCAGCATTGTATTGTCTTCCACTTCTGTTGTGGAATTTGCGTTCAGTGACACGGCTGACGTGTGTCCGTGTATTCGGGTTCAAATAAATATGGCTGGGCAAAAAAATGCAAGTCTTCCTCTGTGTGGAAATCCTTAGACATGTTTGTGAAGATCGTTTTGTACAGCGTGCGTCTCCCTCAGACTGTAACCGAAGCTCAGCCGCACCAGACACACGTCAGCCGCGTCACTGAACGCGGATCCACAACAGAAGCGGAAGACAATACAATGCTGAATAAAGTCCTAGTTTTTGTTATTTTTGAACCAAAATGTATTTTCGATGCTTCGAAACATTGTAACTAACCCACTGATGTCACATGGCTACTTTGATGATGTCTTTATTTCCTTTCTGTACAAGGACAGTATACCGTACACATGTTCAATGGAGGAACAGAAAGCTCTCGAACTAAATCTAAAATATCTTAAACCGTGTCCTGAAGATGAACGGGGGTCTGACGGGCTTGGGACGACATGAGGAAGAGTCATTAATGACATCATTTTCATTTTTGGGTGAACCAACCCTTTAAATGTCCCTCTGGATGCTTGATTATAATTGGTCAATCAGGCATTCTGTGGTCAAGTATTTGGAATACTGGTGTGAAATTACATACACGTATACATAAAAGATTCTTTATCTGTGCTTTTAGAAGAAAAGGTTATTTAAAGTGGAAAACGATTCTTTAGATTATTAAAATGAGAAAAAATGGGGAACCCAAAACAGATTTGTGACCATTGTCTGCATTTGATGCTATAGGGGTCTGGGCACAATTATAGCATTCAGTGCTGGACACTGCGATGTACAGTATCTTTTCCAAGCACTGTCATGACCATCAGTCAAAGCCACCAAGACATTCTACCTAAGTATTTCCATGTGTTCCTATCAGGTCCTTGAGTTTTCCTCCCCACAGAACACACCTCCACAGAAACCAAAATCTTTCTGAGCCACATTGATTTCCTGGTTTCTTTTTCTCAAAATCATACTGTTCTGGGTGGTAAACAGCATTATTATTCCAAAGCTTGAATCCTTAAAGGGATAGTTCACCCTAAAATGAAAATTCTGTCATCACTTACTCAACCTCAAGTTGTTCTAAACAGAGTTTATTTCCTCTGTTGAATACACACAAAGGCGTTTTAAAGAATGTTGGTAATCAAACAGTTGACTGTGGATTCCATAGTAGGAAGAAAGAAAAACATGGAAGTCAATGGCCACTGTGAACTGGTTACCACTCACTAAAACCGTATTCACTTTATAGCCCTTAATCCTGTGAATGTGGGCACAGAGGACTCAGGTGTGATCCTAATTTTTATTTATTATAAATGTTATATCACTGTCTTTGATAAAGTTTGAAAGGTATAGAGAGGATGAAGATTATTAGTTAGGTGATAGTTTATTTATATATTTTTCTTTTTTTCTCTCTTATGTAATTTTTTTTTTTTGAAGATGTATATACACACATAGGTAGATATGTATGTTGTTTTTGTTTTTGGTGTTTAGAGACAAATAGATCAAAATATTCGGTCAACCGGTTAATTAGTTATAATTAGTTGAAGATGGGGTAGGATTGAATAAGCTTATGCTTCTTCCTACTCCTTTTCGGACAAGTACAAGTTAAAAAAAAAAAAAATTGTTGTTGTTTTTTTTTCTCTTTGTTTTATGTATTGTTTTTTTTTTCTCTACATGTTCGAAAATAAAACTTTCATTTATTAAAAACTTTCATTCATTCAAAGTTTTGTCTATCCATTTATGGTGTGTGTTTTTAAAAAAAAATGTATTTACTTCAAAAAGTACCATATTCTCTATATAAATTATACTTATTTTTATGTTTTATTTTTTAAATTTTTTAACTACATTAAAATATCATTCCAATAAGTTCTTAGAGCTAAAATCTAAAGATGAAGTGACTTTGCTTTCACCTGGTGTCTTATTTTGGCTTATTTTAGAGTGCTCTAAATTACAGTTTTTCCCATTCATTTATTTTTATGGGTGCCCATTTTTGACCCAAATACAAGATTAAGGAGTTTTTTTTCCCCACCCACTTAACATTGTAGAATTGAGTAAAAAAAAATGTGTGTGTTCAGGAGGCAAACTTAGGAAAAGTAACCAAGTCTTGTATCAAGGATCAAGGGAAGTATTTTTAAAAAATAAATCAAAACTATTTTGCCCACATTTGTCCAGAATACGGTTTTAGGGTTAAGCTGATTTCTACATGGATGCTCAAATGTCATGTGACTAACTACCAATTTCTTTTAAATTAGTAGATGAATGGGAGACAATACTACTACTGACTAATCAATATTTGTAGGCCGGGATTAGCGAATATAATAATGAAAGGATTGCATTCAATCAATCACCATTAACCAATATAAATACTGAATATTTTAGGGCTGTTGATTTCAGGCATACATTTAATTAATTATTTATGGACAAATAATAAGATTTAACACAGTTATCGCATTCGCCCCAGACCTACGTAGGTCATCTTACATTTCATACAGTTGATTGGCGACGAACATGAACATGAAACAGCTCACTGTGTAATGAATCATATAAAATGCAGGTAAAATATCTATAAAATTCAAGATATCGGGGCAATTTTTTGTGTGGTATAGATAAGCGATTTCACTAGTGCAAATAAAGTATGTAATAAATAGGTAACAATTTAGAAGCTCAACACAATCATACTAACCAGAGCACAGAGGAGATCTACGGCCTCTAAAACCAGTTCCTGATGGCCGATGCGGGTAACAGCCAGTTCCTCAAGGTCCTGATGGGAGATCTTCAGAAGCTGTTCTCCATTAATCTTCTCTCTCTCAAAGTTGTGCACATACTGCTGAAGACTGTCATCCAGACCTTCACAAGAAGAAGAGAAAAGAGACAGAAAACATTTTTTAGAAAGGGTAAAGAATGTCATTTCTGCGCCACAAACACACAGTTCAATGTTCTGATAGTGCCACATTTTTAGTCAAGTTTTAAATGTCTTAAAGGGATAGTTGACTTTGAAATTAATTTTTGATATGTTTTAGCTTGCCTCAAGATGTAGGTGTCTTTATTTCCACAGTAGTTTCAATTTTGATAGTTTTAGTTCAAACCGTTCTTGTCTGTCAGTCATATAATGGAGGTCTATGGTCACCACCTCAAAGAGCATGCACAGAGAAGTCCAAATTAAACAAGATTTAATGACTTGTAAAAGTAAGTACACGTTGATGGCCTAATACACGAAACGAGCGGTTTGTGTGATTAAATAAATAAAAAAAGTCATTAAATCATGTTTAATTTGGACTTCTCTATGCATGCTCTTTGAGGTGGTGACCATAGACCTGCATTATATGACAGACAGACAAGAACAGTTTGACCTAAAAGTATCAAAATTGAAAGTACTGCGGAAACAAAGACACCTACATCTTGGATGCCCTTGAGGTAAGCGAAAACATACCAAAAATTCATTTCAAAGTGAACTATCCCTTTAAAAAGTCTTCTAAATTTGACAATTCTGAAGAATGCAGATACCCTGCCGCTTTCAGAAAACCATTTGTAGGCCTGTTCTCTAAAACCTGCAGGGTATCTACATTCTTCAGAATTGTCAAATTTAGCCTAAAGCCCCATTCACACCGCCAGCGACTTTGTTGCTGTATGTCGCTAGGCTCTGTACTGAGAAGTCTAATGTTATTGGTAGACTGCACGTCTGACCATATCTATACAAAATACCATCACAAGTGATATATACAATTTTAATTTGACTTTTAAGGCTAAAAAGAAACAGTATGCTGTTGGGAGAGTGTTTTTATATTACCACAGCAGTGTTCAGTGGATTAAATCATTCACTAGATCAACGATCCATCAATCAACAAATTAAACTCATTCATACCGTCATAAATTATTAAAACGTCATTCCAATTTGACAAATAATCAATTTTCTTTTCCCTAATAGTCAATGCTGGGGAAATTGTAAAATGAACTGCAGCAGTGCTAAACGTGCATCATAAAATTACAACACTCCAACTATAACGTTAAATGTATGAGTTAAACTCACTGAGAATTTTAATAATTTTGTATTCAAGTATGTGTTTACAGTCAAATCATATAAAACAGTGAAATCGTCCTCGAGCTCATCTGTCTTGCCTGCGCTTGACACAGTGATGCATGAGCTCCACTGAAATCTTCTTTCCTATTGGTTGTCCCACGCGATAATCGCTTCTCATTTGCATAAAGTTGAAATTTCTCAACTTTTGTCACTTGTCTCTTGTCGCTTGACACGCCCACATTCTGTCACCAACGGTCACTGTCGCTCGTGTCGCCGGAAGTCGCCAGCGCTCCATTGAAATGATTGGGATCATGTCGCTGGCGGTGTGAACGGAGCTTTACACTTTTCAGGACATTTAACACTTGTACAAATTCAATTCGTATATCCATACAGAACAAACCAATACAAAATAAGTCACGTATCACAGATTCTTTTAATTGAAAGACTGCTCTAAAAAAACGTAAGCCTGTAGAACGAGCAACAGCGCCGCATTTTGACTTTGAATAGAGTGCTTATGTTCATTTAATTCCATCATTTCCCTTTTAAGCATAATAACCATATTAGACCATACCTTGATTCCCTTTTCTACAATCCCTAAAATTAAGAAATCCTAAAATGATATAATTTCAGACTTTTTTGGCTTCAACTTTGATCAAACAAGGATACATTGTACAAAAAAAAGTTGCGTACAGGCAACAGTGCTGTCGAAGGAATCCCCATTCACACACATTTTTAAAAACGCTGTATTTAGCATAGTTGGCACCCGGCTGAACACATGATACATATGCATGATGTCACCGTTTTCAGAAATTTGCATTTTTGTTGTTTACACAGGCACAAATAACAGAATCGTTTTCAAAAACTTTCACTTTGAAACTTGTTTTCAAAAGCTTATGTTTTCAGGCCCCAAAAACACTGTTGTCGTGTAAATGAACAGTCAAAACGCATAAAAAAGTTTTGGGGTTTTAGTTAAAATTGGTGTTGTGTATGTGAGGTAATGCAGCGCTATTTAATCATTTTAGATACATTTGAGTGTGTTAAAAGCGTTTATAATGCTACTCTGTGCATTTGCTCGGCATCTACTATATTAGACACCATGTGGTAAATATGATACTCGAGGTAAATCAAGAAAACGAGATTTAAACAAAAAGAGATATATTACCATGATTCGTTTTCTGTCGATGAGTGTATGCAAACAGTTGCTAACCTGTCTCATTATATATTAAACCGTCTTTGGTGTTTCCATTGTTTCTACAAAATACAGTATAACCGGAAATCGAGGGTAACGTGGGGATGATGTCATTGATAGGCGACGCACGGTCATGGTTTGTGTCCTTATTTCTCTGGATTTAAAAATTCTTAGAAACATTTGAGAATGTACACAAATCATAATGTATAACATTGTGGTTTTTGAATTTTGATTTAAAAAACTTACATAGTGCGCCTTTAATACTGTAATGTGCTGTGAGGACTGCTAAAAACAGTTATGGGGGAACAGTGATAAAACATGTAAAACTTGAACGCACTGAAACCTTTTCAGAGTTGAAAAATTAATTTGGGTTCAAGAAAGTTTTTTAAAAGAAATATTTTAATAATTTTTCAGAAAAGAGCCATTATATTGACCAAAAACGACAGCAGAAACAATGTTAAACATTTAATTTTGAACTGATTTTTGAACATAAAAAACCCACCGATATCATTAGAGGTCAACCAATTGTTCGTTTTTTGCCGCTTATTAGGCACCGATAACGATTGCTGGAACAATGGGTTATCAGCAAAAACCCATACAGATCGTTTTTCCCGGTTGTCATTAGACAGTACGAGAACGGCATCTTAAGGCGAAATTAAACTATCACTGACGCCGCGTGGAGTTTGTTTTGACATGCGAGACTGAGAGCGTGACAATTCAAATACAGATTTAAAACAGACAATGAAATGGTACGTATACAGCACACCACCGTACGTGTTTTCGCATAATTATTCACATAATTATGAAGTCATTCATTAGTTTTTACTGTATTGTTGATCATATAAATGCAGCCATGGTGACTATAAGAGACTTCGAAAGTACGATAGAAATAAGGTTTTCATTAGAAACACGCTTCTTTCCTTGACACTGCAACAGGTGTGTATAGAGCTTACACAACGTTGTTTCCACCTGCTAGAGTTTACACATGTGTGTCAAGCTGGTTAAACAATTGACAGTTTGTTGTTTTTGCAAAGGGTCACCTATAATTACAGCAAGCCAACCAACAGCTCAGAGGAAACTAATGTCAGCAGACTGGTTTAGCTGGATTCCTTCAGGGTTTCGCTGCCTTGTCCAGTTTCTTTACGCGCAGATCTGTTTGGAAATGTTGGAGTATTTCCTGCCTCGGTTTCCTTTTGATGTAAATCACACGAAATTCGTTTTTTAATGTAGGATTTGCTGACTTAAGGGACTTATGTCTGATTCTTGACATGTTGACAAGAGCATCCAACCCCCCCACGGACACACAAAGCCCTTAGTCACCCCGGCTGCAGCACCAGTGAAGGACGGTCCTGTGGGACGAGAGGGGGAAGGGGGTTTACTGTTCACCCAGTCAAAGGCACTACAGAGAGAGCAGCTGCAAAGGTCTGGCCCGATGCCCTCGGACTCGACGGCTTGACAGCCCAGACAAAATCACTGACCTTAATATTCAATACACAGCCCACCTTCATTTATCTCTGGAAATCTCAAACAAAGTTGAGGCTCTGCTATATCAGTGAATTCCCTTGTAAATAAAATAAAACAAAGTATACAAACCCAATTCCATAAAAGTTGGGACACTGTACAAATTGTGAATAAAAACAGAATGCAATGATGTGGAAGTTTCAAATTTCAATATTATATTTAGAATACAACATAGATGACATATCAAATGTTTAAACTGAGAAAATGCATAATTTTAAGGGAAACATAAGTTGATTTTAAATTTCATGGCATCAACACATCTCAAAAAAGTTGGGACAAGGCCATTTTTACCACTGTGTGGCATCCCCTCTTCTTTTAATAACAGTCTGCAAACGTCTGGGGACTGAGGAGACAAGTTGCTCAAGTTTAGGAATAGGAATGTTGTCCCATTCTTGTCTAATAAAGGCTTCTAGCTGCTCAACTGTCTTAGGTCTTCTTTGTTGCATCTTCCTCTTTATGATGCGCCAAATGTTTTCTATGGGTGAAAGATCTGGACTGCAGGCTGGCCATTTCAGTACCCGGATCCTTCTTCTACGCAGCCATGATGTTTTAATTGATGCAGTATGTGGTTTGGCATTGTCTTGTTGGAAAATACAAGGTCTTCCCTGAAAGAGACGATGTCTGGATGGGAGCATATGTTGTTCTAGAACTTGGATATACCTTTCAGCATTGCCTTTCCAGATGTGTAAGCTGCCCATGCCATACGCACTCATGCAACCCCATACCATCAGAGATGCAGGCTTCTGAACTGAGCGCTGATAACAACTTGGGTTGTCCTTGTCCTCTTTAGTCCAGATGACATGGCGTCCCAGTTTTCCAAAAAGAACTTCAAATTTTGATTCGTCTGACCACAGAACAGTTTTCCACTTTGCTAGAGTCCACTTTAAATGAGCCTTGGCCCAGAGAAAACGCCTGCGCTTCTGGTTCCCGTTTAGATATGGCTTCTTTTTTGACCTATAGAGCTTTAGCCGGCAACGGTGAATGGCACGGTGGATTGTGTACACTGACAATGTTTTCTGGAAGTATTCTTGAGCCCATGTTGTGATTTCCATTACAGTAGCATTCCTGTGTGTGATGCAGTGCCGTCTAAGGGCCCGAAGATCACGGGCATTCAGTATG